ATTCCTGATTCTTCCTGGTGCTGGAAGATAAAAGTGCAATTTTTGAAGGGAAAAAAAAAAGAAGCTGTCTTTATGGAAAGCCACTGAACAAGCCATGCCTGTGCTTCGGGTCTGGTGCCTGAGTTAGGCATGTGCAGGCAGTGCTGGTGCGTTGGGCAACAGCTTCTGTTGCAACGCTTCACCTGCAGGTTGGGCCGATGGGAGCGCTTTCAAAGTGAGCATTTCGGTGGAATTTCGGTGGCCTAATTCTCTTTTGGCTGGGCTCTTGGTATTCTTTGAATGTAGGCCAAGGCGTTAATCCACACATAACGCATACGCAGGTTTATTAATTATGAAACTAGTGAAATGTTGTCAGCGGCTACGTTCTGCAAGGAGAATCTTACCTGCGTGTCAAAAAACCTCTTCAGAAATTAAAATGCTTTGTGGTAGGTACCAAACGACCATCCTTCCTGCCTTAATTTTTTATACGGTAGGGTCAGGGAGGAGAGCTGGTTTTCAAGAGATTATCATTCAGCTCAATGCATGATACTTTGCTATTAGCAAGTTTATTAGGTTGTTCCCTACTCTTGTCCAGGTCAGTAGGCTCATGTGCAAACCCCAGATGCTGGAGTTTCTAATTTGTGGTTAGTTACAGAATTACTTTGAGCTGCCGTTAATCTAAGTGTAAGACTGGTGCATTATTCTACACTTTATTGGAGTCTGAGAAAGCTTAAATCAGTGTTATTAAGCACTATGATCTAGAATAAAAAGATCTATTAAGTATAACATTTTATTGAGTATCTGCAGAGCAGCAGTGGAGTAGTAAGTTATATTACAGTGGTTGTGTCCCTCCCATTCCAAACGAGCTTGAAACCTTGAGCAATCAAAGAATAAAAATACCTTCCTACTGTACATGCACTGGTGGGAAGGCCTTTGGCTGGATTACTCACTATTTGTTGTAACTTTTAGTATAAAATACTTGTTTGGGGAAAATCCTCTAGGGCAGCAACATTCATGCTGTGAGATTAGATGCCTGCTGACTTTATGAAGAGAAGAAAAAGATACCATGTCTGGGATTAATAGTGGTTGGAGATTTTTCTCTCTGCTGTTCACATTGCAGTCTCTGGATTCCCTCAATGAACAGGAGTGTGAAAAGGGAAAGGTTTAGAACAAACACACGACAGGACCTTTTTGGAATGAAGGTGTGATGTAAGAACGGCTCCTGGTGTTCAGATCAAAGCCCAGCGAGCCTGGCATCCTGTCTCTGCCAAAATTCACAGCAGATTCCTCGGCAATACTATCACAACGGGGCCAGCAAACAGCAATACTTTCCCAGAATACTTTCCGCTTGTGAGAAGGACTTTCTGAGCCAGAAGTGGCGTCTTTTGTCTTTAATATCCCTCAGTGGACTTTTCTTCCATGGAGCTGTAGAGCAGCTCTTTGAACTCACATAAGGGAGGCTGTGTTTTGCACTATGGTGCTGCTCAAGACTTTGGCTCTGACTGTTGGGAAAAGTTGCCTTCTTCCTGCTGTTTTTGTGGTTTGGGGTTTATGGCAATCATAGCTAAAAAAGCAATGCCCCAGATTTGCCACGCAAGGCTAGATAATTATGATTGTTAGTCTTGTCCTTAACAGAAAATTATGTCCATAGCTGTGCCCTATTCTATGTATATTAATGTGTTTTATTCTCTTTTTTTTTATTCATATTTTAGTTTGCCTTTATTCTGCCTGAACTGTGGATTAATCTTGCTAAGACAGTCATTGGGGGTCTCAGCACAGTAGTTTTCATTGCTTATCATGAGGCAAGGCAGCAGCTTGGTTTGTAGAACGGGCAATGGAGGAGGATGGAAGGGCAGGGGCAAGGGATGGAGCAGGACCTCTGGGGTCACACTGAGCCAAGGTGAATGTCCAGACTGCTAAAATAAACCTGGCTGCAGTGTGGAGAGAGCACAGCCCGTGTTGTGTATGGTTTGATCCTATTCATTATCTTACTGTTACGGGCCTGGAATAGGATCCTGCAGTTTTTGATTTCTAGGTTTTGATTAGGTTTCTTCCTAATCTCCTAAGCACACTGCCAGCAGTTTTCAATATTGCACCGAAAAAATGTTTCCAAGTTGTGGACCAGCTCTAATCCCTGTCTTTGCTCCAGTTACCTTTGTCACATGTGTCAGGCCACTTAAACACTCACTACTGTGAACCCAGATGCCCTCTCAAGCCCATCGCTGCTCTCAATTATTTCCAACAGATAATTACCTCAGTTCTCCCATCATTACCATGGAGTTACTGAAAACGAAAAGGGCAAATATACCAAGCAGGAGTCCAGAGCAGGAGTCAGAGTGACACAGCAGTCACCTGGACATGTTCTGCCTGGCTGATGTTTTTGGGCTCTGCAATGCATACAAAGCCAGACCTTTATTAACTTTTTCGCATTATTTAACTTACATTGAGTTTTCTTCCTCTGTTTCAGCTCAAAAAGAAGCAGGTCTATGTTGAGAAGGTGGAGAAGATGCAGCAGGCCCTGGTGCAGCTGCAGGCAGCGTGTGAGAAGCGGGAGCAGCGACTGCGGACCCGGCTGGAGAGAGAGCTGGAGTCGCTCCGGATGCAGCAGGTACGGCTGTGTCCCTGTGCTGTACTGGGTTTCATGTAGGATCATACACCATACCCTACACCACACATAAATAGAGGACAGCAGGTTCTTTCCATCTTGTAAAATTAGCAGTCTTTTCTTTTTGGTAGCTGGAATCACGAATCTGCTGTTGTATTGTTTTTACTTGGTTTATTTCTTCCATTCCAACCAGAAAATTTAGATAAGAGAGCAATAGGGGATCCAACACGTGACAAGATTCAGACACAGCCATATAGCTAGATCATATTCTATCTTTAAGTAACCTGGTTAGATTTAATTTTAAATGATTTAAAAATATGCTGCTCACAGTTTGAGATTTTTATATAAAATTAATTAACAGCTGGCCTGGAAAGAGGCACTTCAAAAAGCTTTTGCGTTTAAAAAACCAAACAAAACTAAACCAGCAAAACCAAGTTTATAAATGCAGTTGGTGGAAATGGATGCTTCCCATAGGGTATAATGTTATGATTGTACTGTGAGTCGTTTTCAGTGAAAAGAATGAATGAGATTCAGGTGAACTGTCAGGTTTGTAAATTTTACTGGAAATAGGATGCAGGCCTGTGTTTTAAATCACATTTGGTTTCATGTTAGGTTTATCCCCCAACTTCAACCACTGCATAGGAACTGATAGCTAAACCTTACATGTATTTTTGTATTGGTTTTAGTAGGAGTTACAGTAATTTGATAAACATTTCTGTGTTACCTTTGGAAGATGAGGTACTCTGAACCCCGCAGTTTTTGACACTGAGCCTGAGTCAACACAAAAAATGTTTTCTTGTCATAGTTGAGAATACTGAGCTAAACGTAAACCAGCTTGTCTGTCCAGTTTCTTTTCTTTTAAACTATTTTTTTATTTTTAAGTCAAGTATTCTGCCAATCCCAGAAGATACTTCCATATAAAATTATTCATTTCATCTGTTGAACTGTTAGCTCAGCAAATCTCCACCCTTTCTTGTTTTGAAAGGGAATACTGCCTGTCTTCCAAATCTTGCTTTAGAATGGATGGAATATTTTTGATCCCCAGCTACTTAATCCACAGGTTTACACAGATCATAATGATTTAATAACCTAATAATTTAAAAGTATTTTGTATGCATTTTTTTAAAGGTGTGATAACTCTTGTCTACGTGTTAGTGTTTGGCTGAAGTAACTCCGTGTTACTTTAGGCGTTATGGATGGGCTGTAGGCATCAGACCTGAATGGCATGGTCCAGCTCTCAGATGCACACGTGAGGCTTTGCACATGGCCTTAGGGGACCACCCCAGATGTTTTCCATCTCAGATACTTGCTTATTTGTATTGACCAGCTCTGGCATGACACCAGGAAGCACTCGAGCATGGGTGCTGTGAGTTAAGCTCTCTTTCTTGGGAGCAGTGTCTGGTGTTTTAAGCTTCAACATTTGGAAAATAGAAGGAGCCTTTCTTGCATTATATGAGCTTGTTTCCTGGTGTTGATGGAGTGAGGCTGAAGTGCCCCTGCAAATGACTAGCTTCTGTCCTTCAGACAAAAAGCAAACAAACCAACCCTGAGTATTAAAGATGCATCCTGAGATTTCTTTTTATTTTTTCCTTTTTTTTCCCCCGCTTCTGTAAATCAGCGTCAGGGTACATCCCAGGCTGCCAATGTCTCGGAGTACAACGCCACGGCGCTGATGGAGCTCCTGCGTGAGAAGGAAGAAAGGATCCTCGCTCTGGAAGCTGACATGACCAAGTGGGAACAGAAATACCTGGAGGAGAGTGTGATGAGGCAGTTTGCTTTGGATGCAGCTGCAACTGTGGCTGCTCAGAGGTAAATGAGACTGTTCATAGTACAGGTATTATTTTCTTTTTCCAGTTGAATGTCGTATTTCCCACCAAAGAATGCTGTCATACCACTCCCCCATGATACCTCTCCTTGTGGTCTGAAAGGCTTCTCATACTTCTGCATGCAAGTGGAGCTTGGCTGCTTTTCCTGGGAGCTGTGCAATTGCCAACAATTAGGAACTTTTTTCCAAGGGAAGATTCCCCCACACGCAGGAGCCATTTTCCAGACTAGAATTATTCTGAGCCATTCCTAGAAGCTGATAATTCTAAAATAGATATATGAGGAGTGCTTTGGGTTTGGTGTTTTTTAAACAGGAGTCAGTCCTTGCTGAAGTCATGTGAGATGGGGTAAGCTTGGTGATTCACATCATTCACCCTGAATGGTTTACTTGTTCTCCAGAATGTTTTTGCAGATTACTTTATGGTATGGTCCTCAACACGGTTACTGACCAGAAACATCTACTAGGAAATTCTGCTCCAAACATTCTGCTGTGTCTGGAGAGCTCTGCTTGTGGGGGCGGGAAGGGAAGGGTGTCTGAAATTGGGTACCAAGCTGACATTCCAAGACAGCCGTACAGAAACACTTCTTACGGCTGTAAATAGGCCCAAGTGCTTCAGCTTGTTGGTAAATAAAAGCTGTTGTTGGAGTGCAACTCTTTAGCGTTAGGTATTGCATACATACCATTTCACTGCTCACTAGTTTCTGGTTCTTGATGGCAGATTTTACTTTGGATTGTTGTATGAACCAGATTCAAATAGGGTTGTTATTGCAAATGACTTCCTAGCTTGCAAGATCATGCTAGAATTACAGGGGTAAAGTTGCAGATCTGTTGTGTTAGTGTTTAAAGACCCATCTTATCTTGCTGCAGGAGCAGGCTGTTATTTTAGGATATTGAGGCTTCTTGTACACTGTTTTCTGCCTCCCCAGAGATTCTTTAAAGGTTTTAACTGCTGCCTGTCCTTAGAGGCCATGTTATATTTTCAGCGTCTGCTGATAAGTAGGGGTCTGGTCTTGTTTATCATGACATGAAGGGGATATGGCAGGGCTGTTCAGGTTCTGCTAAATGATCAAGAATGCTTTCCAGTCAGGAAAGAGTCCACCACTGCTTTCCCATTTCCTTCTAGCCGCTGCTTCCCTAAAAGAGAGTATTCCATTAGCGTCAATACTTCTGCAAGTTTATCTGCAGTTGGCATGTATAGTATCATCAAAAATACACGGGGTATGAGGGATTCCACTAATTTCAGTGGCCACTTCATCTACACTGTGCACAGATCTCTTTCCCTTTTTTCTCATAGTCAAAACCAGCATCTCTTGGAAAGCTGAGGTTGCAGGACAGATGCTTTAGAGCACAGGCAGGCATCTGGGTCAGGTTAGGTTTCTCTGATGAGTGACCTTCTTATGCCCTTCACATTGGTGCTTTGCTGTTCCTGATTTAAACTTTTGCAGAGTTAAAGGTACATTTTTCAGACACTTCTTAGACCTGCTGCCTCTCAGAGAAAAGATTTCTTATTACAATGAATTAGAGCTCTTATTATAACTCCGTTTTTTTGCGTGTTTTTTTCTAATTATGTGAATGCATAGCTGTGTCAGTAACGTGCTCTTCGTGTCGTGAGTCATGTAGTGATAGAGAGTGTAGCACAGGGACTTTGTTCTGACCGAACAGTAACAAGTAGAATGAAATACTCATAACGTTTTGGTTAGTGGACTGAACAACTACCACAGTGATAACATCAAGCACTATGTGGAATCAGTCTAAAACTGTTTTCTGCCCACTTTTTGAACCAAGCTGCTCAGGATTGCTTAGGAAACTTCCATGCCCAGTTCCCTTTGATACTCAGGTTCCCTGGGAGTTGGATTTTTGGAAGACATTGAGCCAGCCTAAGCTCAAAAAAAAGTGGATGTTCTTGTTTGTTACTTTTGAGCAATAATACTGCGCTGCTAGGAGGAAAGCAGCAAAATTAGCTGGCATTTCATCTGCTCTATTGCTTGTTCTCAGGGACACAACAGTGATCAACCACTCGCCTAACCCCAGCTATGACACCTCGCTGGAGGCTCGCATTCAGAAGGAGGAGGAAGAGATCCTGCTTGCCAACAGGAGGTGCCTCGACATGGAGGGAAGGTAAAACGCAGTTTGGTCCTATCTGGCTTCTTTAGGACAGGGATTTTCAATTAATTGTCTGAGTAGATGCCTCAGAACCAGAAATTCTTGTGTCTTCACCAGTAGCAATGATGTAGGATGGCAGACGCTCATTTGGCCAAGGAAGTATCTACATAGCAATCCAAAACCTGTCCTGATACTGAGGGCTAACACAGAAAAGTCTTGTTGTATATTTTTTGCATCTAGCTTGTTCCTCTTCTCTCTTCAGGGCATCTTCATCAGACCCCAGGCTCCAGCCACCTCTCAACAGTCTCACAGAGCTGTTTCCCCTGGGGTTAGGTCCAAGTGCAGGCTCCCCAAAGTGTGTCAGTTCTCTTCTTGCTCTAACTAACATATACTTCGTTCTTCTTTGTACTTCTCAAAAAGGATCAAGACTTTGCACGCCCAGATCATTGAGAAGGATGCCATGATCAAAGTCCTGCAGCAGCGCTCGCGGAAGGAGCCTGGTAAGACAGACCAGCTCTCCTCGATGAGACCTGCCAAGTCGCTGATGTCCATATCGAATGCTGGCTCGGGCTTGCTGTCCCACTCGTCAACACTGAGCAGCACTCCCATCCTGGAGGAGAAGAGGGAGGACAAGAGCTGGAAAGGCAGCCTAGGTAATTTTTAAATAACTCTGGCAATTTAGATATGCGAATCACTGATTAGAAAGAAGGCAGGAACAGCAGAAGGTGTGTCAGACAGACAGATCAGCTGGCCTAGCATGCAGTAAAACTGACTGTGTGCAAGATGGGACACATTTGGAACAACTGCTTGTTTCAGTCACTTTTGGAAAGTAGTGACTTCTGATGTCCAGGCTCTGTCATTAAAATACGTAACTCTTTCTTCCCAATTTAGTACCTGACTTTAAGGAAGATGAGTTGTAACAAAGCAAATCTTAGGGGTTTTTTAATTTTTTTTCCTGATGGGAAGTTAGGCCCAAAGGCCGTCCCTATGAGGCTAAAACACCCTGAAATGTCGATGCAGCTGATTTCAGAGTGCGCAGATTTACCCTGCCATAGATGGGCCACTGCTTAGAGACAGGAAAGTCAGGTGTTGGTGCCCACTTGCATGTCTTCAGATGCAGCAACATGAGGCTGCTGCTGTCCTTCATGTACTTCAGCAGCCAGTGGTGAAAGGTGCTATAGAAAGGTAAACTAGTACTGTCTGCTTTCCAGATCCTAGAACAAGTACTACAGAGGGGTGCAGAGCTGACACCAGTTAGTTTTCTGGTATTGTGATATTTCCTTCCCTTTTTCCACAAAGGTGTTCTGCTGGGAACAGAATATCGCTCCGAATCCATTCCCTCCACCCCCTCTCCTGTCCTTCCTTCCACACCGCTGCTGTCAGCCCACTCGAAAACAGGCAGCAGAGACTGCAGCACCCAGACTGACCGGGGGAGTGATCAAAGCAAAGCTGTACCTTCCACTGCAGCTCCCACACCAGGACGACTCCCCAGTACCAGCCTGGCCTACAGTGCAGACAAAACAGGTAACAAAACTCAGCTGCACTCCCAGAAGGGCCCCTGCCACTGACTCACCATCAGTTCTACTCTGTGAGCAGGCTCTGCTATCTCTTTTTCCATTCAGAAAAGTGGCTTTAGTTTTTGTGAGGACAGATGGGTTTCAGAGGCAAGTTTGGCAATGTTCTGGGAGGTCTCAAATGCTCTGAAGGAATGAGAGCCCTTAAGAGTGGTAGCATAAGCATGGACACACTGGGTAGAGAGGTACAGCGAGATTTCAAGAGTTGAAGCAGGTATATGGAAATCCCAGAGTAGTCTCTGAGGCAGCTGTAAAAAGTGGCCATTGCATTTTAGTGGGTTTTCAAACCAAAGTGGTCTCAGATAAGGGAGGAGGGAGAGAAAGAAAAATTAACTATTGTGATAAAGCTGTCTCGTTATTGTATTCTCCCAGTCACGAGACCGACTTCAGCACTGGCATAAGTAGACCCAGTTGACAGGGACTGTCGCGGAGCTGAATTTTGTTCCCACAGAGCTCCGAGCTGGCAAAAGACGCTCATTTTCCAGCCCACTCTGCCAAATCAATGCAGATTACACAACCTTGCCTCTCCTACTTACAGACACATTGCAATTATGTTGTTCTTTATGGAAGAGTGAATTTGGCTGGCCTGCTGTGCATCTTGCCCGTGCTATGCTATTTAATGGGTATCGAGGGAGACGGGGGAACAGGTTTTGTGGTGAAAGTCAGCACTGACAAAATTTGTTTAAATGCAGTCACTCCAGTTTTAAATGCCATTATGTATCAGTGGGAGATACCCAAAGGGAATTTGATAAAATATCTTTATTTATCTGTCTACATACATGAAGAATTGAATTTTTTTAAATGAAATAAGGAGTTGTTAGCTGTCATTTGGCCAGTGATAGAAGATGACTTTCAAAATGTTAATGTCATTTTTCTAACCTCATTGAAGTTCCAGCTTTGATTTCTCTCTCTTGTTTTTCCTCATCATGTAGATGGGCCACTCTTCCACTCCAGCACTCTTGAAAGAAAAGCTCCTGTTCAGACCATGGGGCAGGACCTCCCAGACGGAGAGATGGTAGAATACCTCATCTGAAAGGCTGTACCGGGATCTGAGCTGGGATACAGTAGCAAGAAATTTTTAAAAGACATTTTTATTGGGAAAAAAATTGTAGTACCTGAATAATAAAAGAACACTCAGCTGTTTGCTCTTGTATAATATGTCTCAAAAGTATGGACAGGTTAATTTATAATTTGTTCTAAATTATAAAAGACCCGTAACACTTGTTCTTTGAAAGTTTCCCCCTTTGTTTGTTAAATCCTGAATCTGGTAACATCTGGAGAAAAAAACCAAGAACTTAGGTGCATCTGATTTTTCATTTCAGTGTTTTTAAAGTCTCTTAAACAGAAGTACCTGCTCTCCCAGCTGTTGATTAAAGTGTCCAGCTTGAATGCAGTAAGATGGGCATCATGGCCTTATAACGATCAGGACCAGGAACTTGTTCTGAGCATCACTTAATGGTTTCAGAATACAGGTATTCTAAGAAGCTTTTATAACTTTGAGCTTTCTCTTTACACTCGGTGTAAGAACTTAAAACAGGTATTTCACATTCATAGCCTGGAAAGATTTCCATTTCCAGTGTGGTAACATTTTTTTGTTACTTCCCAAATTGTGTTATTTCTTTATTTAAAAAAAAAAAAAGACGACTCCGGTGATTACTGTCGCATTTCACATTTTTAATTTCATTGAAAGATTTGCCACACTTTTATACTTAAGTACTTTTTCAATAATTTATACAGTGGATAGTAAATAATATATTGCATTCATGTTTTAGGAGAGTTTACAGGCTCAGTCCTGATGGGTTAGATCAGATTTCTGCCATTGTAATTCCATTGGCTGTAGTGGAACTACTCCACATTGACCGTACTGTGAGTGGCAAGCCCTGTTGCTTTTCAGTGTTAGCAACTTAATAACTGCATCTGTGGAGATGTTTCTCCGTAGCAGATTTTTCTATATCTGTATCAAACCTTCTACTTTGTATGTCCCTGCTGGTTGGATATACCAGATTATTTTTCATATAGCAAAGTCTCCGAGGTAGAGCTTTAAAGAGGAGCTCTGTATAAAGTTTCACGTGGCAAATTCTCTCTTTCCAAAATATTTTTTTTCTTCATCTAACTGGAGGTTCACTTTCAGATTTTTAGGAGCTAGCACAGATGCAGCAATGCTTTGGTTGCAGATGCTATGAGGAGATACTAAGACCAATAGAAGTAAACGAGTATTTTTTGTTACTGTTTTGCATTTTATTAAAACACTTCAGTCTTAATTTCTGTTAAAAATTACTTACTTTTTACTTGAATTTTAAAATATTTAATTGGGCCACATGTTGGAAACCTGGCTAGTCAGCTTTCTGTGCAGCATTAGAGTGGCCAGATTTTAATTTCAGATAATTTCACACCAGAAATAAGGAAAATCAGTAATTAATCGTCGACAGTTAGTGAATGTCCTCAATTCCTATTTATTTGGCACTACTGATGTGGTGTCCAATTGAAATGGCCTTACCAGACCAACCAGTATAGCATGAATTTCAGTGGAGGGTTGGGAGGTGAAAGGAGGTGCCTTCTGTGCTGCATGGGTGACTTAGCAGTGCCTAAAGATCAGCTGAGTTGGATTCTGTTTGTCTTTTGGTGATAATCACATAAAAAACCCCAAGGAAATCACTTCCTATCACTTCTGGCGGATTTGCTGCTTGTGAGTGTTCTTCAGGATATATTCTTAGGCTCACAGAAGTTAGAGGTGGCAAAATACATATGGTAAGATGAATTACCATATGAAATTACCACTGTCTTTCTGAACAGTATGGAAGACCCTCCCTAAGTGTATCCTATTGATCTGAATTAGTTCTCTGCCCTTTTCTAGACAAACTGTTTGCAGCCTCTTCACTCTCATTCCTACCTTTTCTAGACAAACTGTTTGCAGCCTCTTCCCTCTCATCCCTGACAGTGTCTGGCATTTCTTTCTCTTGTCTTAATCCCATCCCATTACATGAAATAATTCCCTGGCATTTCTTTCTCTTGTCTTAATCCCATCCTGTTACGTGAAATAATTCCTGCTCTGGATGATTTGAAGTGATTTCTGTTCCTCCTCCACAGCTGTTGAGCATGCAGAAGCTTTTCTCAGTAGCTCAAGGTGTCCATCTTTCTGCCATTTCAGCATAATTTTCTATATTTTGTGGTTTGGGCATTGAATGAACAGTAAGGAAGATCAAATGCCATTGAGTGCCTGTGTGAGAGGAGGAGAGATGTTTGGGTGCTTTTCTATTCTTTTAAAACTCAAGGAAAATTATATTCCAACGTCACAAGTGCTTCTCAGCAGTAGGAAAGAAGTTTTGCAACTGTAGGGCTCTAGATAAAGAGTTCTAACTCGCCTGATTCACATTAATTCCAAAACATCTAGGTAAATTTGGATCCTTTGCAGATAAAATCTCTTTTAGAAAGACAATATTCCCCAATCGATACTGGCTATTCAGCTGGACTAGGTAGAAATAATGTTTATCCTCCTTGCAGCCTATTGTTTTCAAACTGAATGCCTCTGTAATCTACTTTTACAAAGAAGAAAGGACATCATAGCTTTCTGTCAATAAAATACAGATTATGGACAGCAACTGCCTCCTCCAGAAATGGAAGCCAGGTGATCCCTGGTGGTCCAAGCTATCAGGATTGCCCCTGGAAGTCAATTTGGCAGAAGAAGGTGCAGTTTTACATTGTTCAGGTCAGGTTCTTTGCCCTATTTTGTAGTTTGTTTTTTTTCCAAAAGCAAAACCCCCAAAATTTTTGACATGGAAGTCTGAGGTCATCTTCCTGTGCTGACGAACTAGGAGCCATCAGGAATGTATCCTTTCCCTTGAGCTTCCTTAGAGCCATCCTGATGTGAATGTAAAAGAGCTGCTTGCTTTGAAGAAGATGTGTACTATAGTCTTCAGTCTCTCTGTACAGATTTGTATTTTGTTTTTAAACAAACTACTTTAAGGAGACAGACTGCACACCTAGTTCCTTTTCTTTCCATAGAGCTTATTTCTAGTAGGAAGTGATTTTTAACACAATGATTGCAATGACCTTTGCAAACCAAAATTTTAGACCAAGAGTTTTTTCTTAAACTCGGGTATTAGAAGCAGAATTGTAGCTTTTATAAAGAAAGCCACATGTTCTTCTTTGTAGAGCAAAACAAGAAAATAAATTTTAGTTATTTTTTCCCTCTTTCCTTTCACTGCTTACAGAATGGCCAAACTCACAAGTCCTTCCCTTGGGCAGTTCCTTTGAGATTTGGTGGCTCGGGGAAACTGCCTGGGATGTAGAAGCTTTCATTCCCATCTGGCTCAATGTCATTATTAACTTCAAATAGCTCCTACCTGGCAACTGTGTGGGGTCTGGAGCAGCAATTTTCTGTCTGAGGACTCATGAGGATCATCAGTTGCTCCTCAGGAGTCTGCAAAGGCTGAAATCCTTTACGTGTGGTCTCTGCCGCTGTTGGCGAGTTTGTGGAGTGAGAGGCTGAAAACTGGCATCATTTTTACTGCCCGAGTGAGGGGACTTGCAGGGTTTTCGGCCAGAACCATTTCCAAGGACACCTCCTGCTCCAGGGGCCCACACCGATGATGTGTAACAACCGCATCCTGTGAGCCACAACACCCGCAGAGTGAATCCTGGCAGCCCTGACCAGGCGATGTGCTTTTTCTATCGCTGATAAATCACCCAACCCCAGGGTGATTCGGCTTTTCCTCCCTGCGAGGGCTGGCACAGGTTATCCCGGGGTTCACTGTGCTGCTTCACACCACGGCTGATGATTTTGCTCCGTGCCAGGGGTAGGGGACTGTGGGGAAAGGGAGGGTGTCTCTTTTCATGTATTTGTATAGGAACTCTTTTTTTAAAAGCTAGCATTTTTATGTCTAGAAAGTAAAAAGACATTGTAAAATGTAATTGTACTGTATTTATGAAGAAAATACATTGCTTTTCAAAAAATCTTCTTCTAAGTTGGTTTTAGAGTTTGACTTCCAACAACATCATCCCTTGGGCTTTCAGAGGCGTTGAAACTGATCTGGTTTGCACCGCGCTGTCCCACTACACCGACATGGCTGTGATTTAAGATGTAAGAGAAAGGCAACCAAGCCTTTCCTCTGGGGAGAGCCGGCAAATCGCTCCCCTTTTGCTTTGATGGCGGAGCAGGTTTCATCCCAGGCATTTGGGTCTCTTCATTTTGTAGAGGAGGAGCTCTCAGGGGCAAATGGCTTCAACCCAGCAGGGTTGAGGTCTAAAATGTGGGACTGGTTGGCTGCTCCTCTTTAGGGTATGAATTATCAAAGTATAAATTAAAATACTAAAAGTTTGCCATTTCACAGCCTTGGAAAATGTGTCGAGAGAATGATCTTTCCTACATAAATCTTTATTGTAGTGAATCATGTGGATTATTTTTCCCTCTTTTATTTAAACCATCGAGTTTATTTTGTAATTTGTGACTGAACTGTTTCATAATTCAGCTGAAACAGCCCTAAAGGCTTTGAAGATTATGGCAGCTTTAATTCCAGGAAAAAAAAAAAACAAACCAAACAAAAAAAGTGGTGTAAATATGCACTGAGAGATCTTGTAAATATCTATCATTCTGTTTGTAGTTAGCTATAAAAATATTTTATGTTTTTAAAGAATAGATCCTGTGTTTTCAGTATTTTTTCCCACTGATTTGCTTGTTTTGCAGTAGTTTTCTTTATATGAAAACCTTATTGATTATAAAACAAAACCAATCTTCACTTTATCTAGTCCTTACTGCTGCTTGGCCTCTGCCTCTTAAGTTTTCAACTCCTAATTGGAGATTTTGCAGGATAAAATAATTGTGCATTCCAGTCTCTTCCCTTAAGCATCACTTTTTATTTGTAACTGTGACCGCTTCTGCAGCCGCACTCAACTCTGCACTTTTACGCCTTTTAAATGACCAAATTAACACCGCTTGTCACTGTGACATTGGGCTGTGATGACAGTGCCACTCATCCTTCCTTTCATGGCTGCACCCTTTTCAGATGTCGAAGGGCAACAGCACGTGAGTAACCTGCAGTCAGGGCAGTATTTTCTGCATTGTAGTCTTTAATAGACCAATGTGCTCATCTTTCATGTATTTTTGGTGTCTTTCATTGGATTCCATTTATCTTTCATCTCCCTTTTCTTGGGAGCATCTTAACCAGCCTGCTTGGACATCACCATCGACTGGACGCATCTGTTGGACACATGCATAGTAAAGACATCTCCCTCCATCCCTTCTCCAGCTCCTCAGCGTGCCAAGATCTGGAGCTTAAAATGGGAGGAAAAGATAAAAAGGTTGGTTGGGGTTTGGTTGTAAGAAAGATTTTTGTAGGTTTTGTAAGAAAGAGTAATATAAAATGGCAGCAAAAGGCTGGCCTCGTAAAGCGTAAAGTGCCTTTAAAGCGATATTTAGCTGTAGTGACTGTATAGTTCGAGTGAGATAATCTTCACTTTGTATTTTGGAGGTAAACTTTAGAGGAAAATTTTCACTGATCCCTTGCCA